GTGGCAGTCAGCCATGGACGCAGAGATGGCTTCCTGGAAGTCCATAAGCACCTACGTCGACGAGGCTCCCCCACCTGGGGCGAACATCATCAGTGGCATGTGGATTTTTAGGGTGAAGCGGCCGTCGGGTTCTCCGCTTGTCTTCAAGGCGCGTTACGTGGCTCGAGGCTTCAGTCAGCGGCAGGGAGTTGACTACTTTCAGACCTTCTCTCCCACCTAGAAGATGACCACTCTTCGGGTGCTGCTGCACATAGCCGCTTAGCGCGACTACGAGCTTCACTCTCTTGACTTCAGCACAGCTTTCCTGCAGGGCAGCCTGCACGAGGTGATCAAGCTGCGCCGCCCACCTAGCTTCACTGGGTCGTTTCCTCCTGGTACCCAATGGAGCCTCCGGCGGCCAGTCTACGGTCTCCGCCAGGTGCCACGTGAGTGGCACGACACACTGAGGACTACACTTGCGGCTCTTGGGTTTGCTCCTTCCACAGCTGACCCGTCGCTGTTTCTGCGCACCGACACCTCTTTGCCGCCGTTCTACATCTTCGTGTACGTCGACGACTTGGTCTTTGTCACTGCTGACACTGCAGGACTCGCCCACGTGAAGTCCGAGCTGTAGAAGAGACACACGTGCACAGACCTGGGTGAACTGCGCAGCTACCTTGGCTTGTAGATCACCCGGGATAGAGCACAGCGCACCATTACCCTGAATCAGTCACACATGGTGCAGCAGGTCCTTCAGCGCTTCGACTTCACGTACTCCTTGCCTCAGGCCACTCCTCTGTCTACTTGCCATTTCTCAGGCCACCCTGGTACAGCATTTCTAGGTTTTCCTACTTGTACCCACCTCTTTCCTAGTTCATCCATTCCTCATTCTTCACAAATGGCATGGCTTAGTGGGAGATGCGCACGATCATCGAAGCTGTTCGAGCGATGCTACTTCACATGGGCGTGAAGCACCATTAGTAGCACCTCGCACTTTGCCAAGTCTTCTAGGTGCGCAATTGTCTTGAGCAGACTTTGCAACCAATGAGGACGACGCTTCACGAGCTGCTGTACGGCAAGAATCCAATCCTTACGCTGGCGCGGGTATGGGGCTTCATGGTGCAGTTCATGGTCCCCGAGCAGCAGCGTGGCGGGAAGCTGGCACCAAAGGCCCGTTGGGGACTTCAACTTGGTGTCTTGCCAGAGAGCATGGACAGGGAGGTGCTCGACCTCACCGACAACAAGGTGATCACAACGGTCGAGGTCGTCTAATACGAGGCTTTGTTGCATGAGATAAGGAAGGCGCTGCATGGCGAGGCGTCGGCATGGATGCAAGCCTCCCTGCCAACGGATTCCTTGCCAACGACGACTCCTTTGCTCGCCGAGGATGATGTGTCAAATGTCAAGGACGTCCCTCCACATCCTTTCTTGATTCCCGCTGTTCCACCGTCGGTGGCCACGTCGCCTACTGCGGTTTAGGATTTAGGGAGAATTCGACAGGGGAGATGACAATAGGAGAGCAGCTCAACGATGGCTTGCCAAACGACGTGGTGGAGGTCGCCGACGTCGCTGACGACGAAGGGGAGTTGTCTATGGGAAAGCATTCTAGCGACACTGACGTGGCAAAAATCCTGGTCACGAGTAAAAACCGCATTGTTCCACCGCCCCAGTTTTGGCAAGGATCCAGAGCTGTGGAGTTATTATGCTTGCCTGCCACTGACCACCTACAGTCCGCTCCTTGATGACGCGCAGGCCAACATTGACCTGCCCGAGATCGACCCCGACAAGCTCGTTGACCTGGAGAGGCGATGGGACATCCTAACCATGACTGTCAAGGAGGCATTGGCGAGCTAGAAGGGCAAGGCAGAAAAGGACGCCATGGACAAGGAGATGTCGCTAAGGCATTGGACAGAGTCTCCTCACCAATGTCACGTGGGAGCTCATTGAGTGACCACGTGGTATCAACGTGATGAAGAACCGTTGGGTGCTGATAACAAAGAGCCTGTACGGCCTCAATCACTCGTCGTTGCTGTGGTACTCGGCTCGGCGCCGTGCTGACCGGCGACTGCTAGAGCACGAGCGAGGTTGACGAGTGGCATGCTCGGTGCTTGTCTACGTCGACTACTTACTTGCCACCAGTGGCAGTCTGGTGATGCTGAAGGAGCTGGAGGCCGCCTTCGAGCTACTGGAGGCCGCCTTCGAGCTGTGCGAGATCAGCCCGATCGAGAAGTATCTCGTGCTGGAAGTTGTGTGCGACCAACTTGCATGGAAGATGAGGCTCCACTAGCAGTCATATGCTTACAAGCTGCATAAGCGCTTCATTGTCATCGGAGACTTGTCTCCGATGATGCCTATGCTGACCTGACGTTCAACGACAATGGCTTTCAGTCGCACGAGAAGAGGAGTACAGACACAAGGTCGGTTCGCTGCAGCTCGCCGCCACGACGACTTGGCCCGACATCACCTTTGCGTGTATGGGGTCCCGCATGGCGGTGAGAGTGACCAGCACTGGTGCGAGTTTGATCGGTTTTGTCTACCTCGCTAACACATTTGACGCCACCCTTGACTTCGTCGATATACCTGAGTTGCTGTGTCTAGTCGGCCACGCGAACGCCGACAACGCCGTCAACAAGCAGATGTACAATAGCACAAACGGCTACGTTTTTGTCTTCAGCGGTGCCACCTTCTCCCGGACGAGCCAGCACATCAACGCGTGACTCTGTTGTCGACAAAGTCGGAGTACAACTCTGCCACCAAAGCTGGCATGGAGGCAACCCAACTTCTTTTCCTCCTCGCTGAGTTCCGGCTGCTCGATGCTCTAAGGCCAACTATCCTGAATGTGGACAACCAGTTGGCCATCTTGAATATGGCTTGGGGCTAAGGGCAACCTCAAGCATATTGAATGATGCTACGTCTGGCTACAGCTGATGGTGAAGCGAAGTATGGTTGCGCTGGTGTACATCTCGACAACCGAGCAATCGACGCCTTCCTCATGAAAGAGCTACACTTTCGGGCCTTTAATTGGTGCTCCCTCACAGTCGGCCGAGTTTGCTTTGCCGACGTCAGCGGCAAAGACGTGCACCCTAGGCGCCATATCCTTCTACATGGCTGATGTATTTAAAGGCGTGCTGCGAGTGTACGTCGACGAAGTATCCCCCTTGCAGGGATAAATCTCACTTCTCTAACCAACTAGGATATAAGGGCATGTATTCTTGGTGGGTCAGCGCACCCATACCCCCCCAGGACGACACTAGTAGCCCTTGGGGAGACCAGTTCGGGCCTTTCTAGTGCCCATCTCTGTCTTAGTTGGCCAATTCGGTCGAGCCGACATTGGCGAGAGCGATGACGAAGTGCAGCAGTAGGCGCCATGCCCTTCAGCATGGCTGAAACGGTAAACGGCGTGCTGGGTGTGCACGCCAAAGTTATCCCCATGTACTCTATTACGTAGGTTTCGGGTGAAGTTTTGCGTGTGTGTGGTGCCCAAGCTCAAGCTTGGCAGGGGAGAATTTAGGAGAGAAGGCCTGACCCTTGCTTAAGCAGCTTGGACTTGTCCAAATTGTAAGGTGTCCAACTCGCTTGGCTTGGTCGGCACTGACTTGGAGGAGCAAGTCGGCCTGGCAGGCCGACCTTAGTGGAGCCAACTTCGTGGTCGTCTCCAACTTGGAGGATCATGTCGGCTTGGTTAGCCGACTTCGACATTAGCCGACTTCGAGAAAGTAGTCCACAGCAGAGAAGACTTTGGCGAAGCCGGCCATGGCGTAGGCCGACGAAGTGAATTCGGCGGTCGTCAAAGGTGTGCGTCGACATGACAACGACTTGCGGTCGCCGACCTGCGGGCATCGACGGCCTCTTCCAGTCAAACGAGTAACCTGGTCGACAAGCTGAAGTGGGAGAACGTTGTCCAGGTGGTTTCGGTGAAGGCGACCTAGGTGGCAACAATACGTGAGCTTTGGTTCGACGTTGTGCATATGACGCAACTGTTGCCACGTGGCCGACTTGGCACATGCACAATGTGTGTGACAGTCATACATCGATCTTCAAGTACTCCTATCTCTTGTATACGCTTCAGGAAGAATGCGGTCAGTAGTAGTCATTAGGCCCCCTTTGGGGGAAGTAAATGATACTACCCCCACAATTGTGGGTCAACTCTAACCATTTGACCTGAGCAAGCTGTCGCCGTTTAGACCAAATTAACTGCTTCCTGAAAACCACTGGTGGAGAGGAAACGGCTACTCTAATCGAGTCTCATCAGTCCTCTTCGCGGCTTCTTTTTGGAGAGAGCAGCGTCCCGGTGCGCTGCGCGCTGCTCAACCCCCCGTCCTTTGTTACCGACATCCCTGTTACATCAAAAGTTTTACCAGTAGTTGCCACTTCTGCTGCTGTTGCTGTTTCTGTTGCCCCTTCTACTACTCCTACAGATGCTGCTGCTGCTCCATCTGCCCGTGACCAGCCTCCTGTCCCTACCACTGCTGGTGCTGAGAAGTATGACTGAGGCAGCAACAGATCTTCATGCCCCTTTGGCCACATGCCATGACTGCTACCGGCGGCGCTGGAAATGGGATAAGCAGCCATGTTGGCAACATTCCCCTCCTCTGATGCAAACGGGTTTCCAGACTCATCATGCATGGGTGTGAACATGGAATACCCCTGACCCAGTGTGGATCCCGGTGGTACGTGTGGTGCAGGTCCCATGAATGTTGCAAGTCCCATGGCTGAGGCTAGTTTCATTGATGAACCTTTAAACGATTCCATTGGTTCACCTTCGGTTGCGTCACCTGCACTTGTCAGGTAACTGCTGCTGTGGTAATCGTTGGTGGTAGGGTGAAATCTTGTGACCAGGTTGCGACTAGGATGGTGGCTGAATCCGCTGCCCATACTGCTGCTGATGCCCATGCTAGTGCTGCTGATGCCCATGCTGGTGCTGCTGATGCCCATGCCGCTACTGTTGATGCCCATATCCTTGTCAACATCCAGAAGGAGTGGTTCTAGCTCTTCTAGCTCCATCCCATGCACCGATGTCATCATGTCCTCCCATCCGCGTCCTCCTCCTCCTCCTCCTCCTCCTCCTCCTCCTCCTCCTCCTCCTCCTCCTCCTCCTCCTCCTCCTCCTCCTCCTCCTCCTCCTCCTCATCCTCCTCCTCTTGCTTCCATAGCTACTCTTGCTGCTGTAAATCCCACCCCTGCTGTTGCCACGTCTGCACTGGTTGGTTCTACCCTTGCTGCTGCTTCTCCAAGTCCCAACCCTCCTCTCAAGCCTTCTTCTTTGTTCTCCACCCCCGAAACCTGTGCTCCTACACGCCAGCTGCTGCTGCGAACGATTTCCTCTAAGCCACCATCCCCACCACTCCAATCTCCTGTTCTCTCTCCTTCCACCCCCTCTCCAGCCACCTCGTTTTCTCTGCTCTCCCACAGACTCGTATGCAGCAGAGATTCGCTTGGATTCCTGCCATACAGCCTTTGTCGCCCCCCTTGTCCCTCCAACCACTGGGGTTACGCATACTCTAGGCTGTGGGAGGGACAAAAGGGTGAGTGATACTGGTTGACGCCTTCACTCGGAGACCGGAGCGGTAGGGAGACGGCAAGGCAGGAGGAACTTCTCTGCCATGGAAGATCAGAACAATGTCCTTCCTGCTCCCAAGTCCTTTACCATGGGAAGTCAGTGCTGAGATCTTCTGTATATTCTTGCTTACACTGAGAATCAGCTTCTGCTGCAAGTTGTTGCTGCTTTTGGTGATCACGACTGAGCCCCTGTTGCTGAAGCATTTGCTGCTGAGATGTGTTCTGCTGAGGCATGTGCTGTTGAGGAATGTTCTGCTGAAGTGTCGGATGCTGGTGGTAACGGTCCTCCTGCTGCTGCTCCTGCTCGTGCTGCTGCTGCTGCTGCTGCTGCTGCTGCTGTTGCTGCCGCTGTTTCTCCTCCTTACGCAGCTGCTGACCTGGGCCCCGGAACCCAGTTCCCCCTCCATGCTGTCCCTTGTGCCGTTTCCCCCGCTGGACTCTCTCAAGGCTGCTACAGAGGGTGGTCCATTTGCATACGAGGGAGCTGCAGTTGCATGTGAGATTGCATCGAGGGAATGCGCTCGTGCGAGTTGCAAGGGGTCCTCCGGGACTGCACTGCATACAAGGGTCCTCCGAGGCCGCATTGCTGAGCTGCTCTGAAACCCTCCATGCTCCACTTTGCCAATTGCATCAACCACTTGTGGAATAACAGAAGGTGCACTACCTGTTGGGACCACACCAGACCCTGAGCCTCCCAAGGGTAGAGACGCATCTGTAGCCAAACTAGCAGCAGGGGTGGTAGCTGCAGCAGAAGCAGCGGCAGAAGGTACACGAGGAGAAGCAGTAGCAGCGATAGCAGCAGCACTGGAAGCAGCAACAGGGGGAGCCCTAGGGGATGTTCTGGTAGTAACTGCTGTGGTACTAGCAGCCTGTTCTCTCAAGAGTGAGTTGAGAATATCAGCGAGCTCTTGCAGATCCTCATGACGGATTTCTTGACCTGCTGCTTTGTCCCCTACCTTGTGTGTACCAGCAGCACTACTAGCTGACTTATTGCTGGCAGCATCAGCAGCAAACGCAGCACCACCACCACCAGCACCATCACTATCAGCAGCAGAAACAGCAGCTCTTTCCTGCTGTAGAGCCCTCTGCTGTTGGGGGACTAACATGGGAATGGTAACCTGCCTCGTCCGTCTGTTCATCAGCTTCTCCCCGCTCGTTTTCTTCTTGATGGCCGTTTGCGTCTGATCCAGGTGCCAGCTCACCTGCTTTTGTTCACCCTTCTCCTTCTGCCATTGATCTTGGCTGCTATCCCACTCCACCCTCCAGTCCAGCATTTCCGCCATTTCCCTCTTCGTCTGCTCCTTTCGCATCTGCTGCTCCTCTTCCGATCGCTGCGGCTCTCCCATTTCAACCTGCCCTGCCACTCCATGCCCGCCTCCCACACCACCACCACCATCCCTGCTGCTGCCAGGTGGCTTTGCGTTAGTCAGATAGTGCTTGAAGGATGGCAAGGTCTCGGGGTAGACCTGACCTTTCAAGAACCCCTCTTCTTGCTGGCTGTTTCCCTGCTGCGTGTGCAACCCTTGCACAAGCCCTTGCTGCCCTACTGGCCTGCTGCTTTGCTGGTGCCTGAGAAACAACTCAGGCTGCATTGTGTGGCTGCTGCTGCCAGCACTGGGCTGGAGGAAGGGGGTCGGGGAGAGTTCAGAGTGCGGCGATATCCCTTGCTGCTCTGCGGGGCTGCTGCTTTGCTGGCGTCTAAAAAACAGCTCTTGCTGCTCTACGTGGCTGCTGTTGCCAGCAATGGGCTGGGGGAAGGGCAATGGGGCAGGGGAGTGTTCAGAGTGCGGGCTGAGCGGATTGAGGAGAGGGGAGGCAGGACCTGGATGCGCAAAGAGGTTACCAGCTCCAACTTCTGCTCCTACTGCCGCTCCTACTCCTGCTTCCTCCATTTTTACTGATGCCAAATCTGCCGCTCCCACTGCTACACTAGCTGCTGCTCCTGCTCTTTTAACATCAATTGCTGCTTCCCCTGCTGCTCTTGTTCGTTCTACCTCCATCGCTACTGCTTCTACTGAATCGTCCTCCGCTGCTCCTGTTCTTGCAGCTTTTGCCACTATCGATACGTTTTCCTCCTCCAGACCCACAGGCATCACTGCATCCACATCTGCTGCTCGGCTTGCGACAACGCTGCTCTGGACATCCACAGGCATTGCGGAGCAGGAGGAGTTGGGGGACTGGCTCCTTGTAAGGGTAGTTGGAGAATTATTACCCTCATGTACCTGCACCTTCACTGCCTGCTGTTCTACCATCCCCTGCTAAGACACCATAGCCTGTGCTACCACTGCTTGCTGTGCAACCATTGCTTGTTGTGCCGCAATTGCTTGATGTGCCACCATCCCCTGCGCTGGCACCATCGCTTGCTCCTCGGCCGTCAGGGAGCTTCGCTTGAACACCCTCACAACCACCCACGATGTCGTGCCAATCCGTCGGTCACTTCCAGATTCGGCCTTTGGGCTGCTGGCTTTGGGGCTGTTGCTGCTGATGCTCCTAGCTAGCCCACCATCTGCAGCACCACCTGCACCAACCGCAGCTTCCAGACCTCTAGTGTCAGGGCCGGTCGCTTTATCTTTTCTACTGTTGTTTCGGCATATGGCAGTACCATCTCCTGAATCCATTCCAGCTGCATTGCTTTCACGCGTAACATCTGCGTTTGCAGCTTCTGGAGGGTCCAAATCCCCTGCTGCAGCTGTAGCGCATGCCACGTCTGTAGAAGCCGGTCCAGCTACAGGCGAATCCTCTGCCAGCCGGTACTCGTGCATCACCCAGTCAGTCTTGTCCCCTCCTGGCGCTCGGCCCCTGTTGCCAACACCCGCGGAATAAAGAGATGTTTAGAAGGCTTGTTGAACAAACGGTACCTGACCCATCCAAACCTAAGATCGGAGCAGGCAGTCCAGTGACTCAAACATAAAACCGAGCAACCTGAAGACCTATATAGGGGGGTCGCTGTTTGGTGATAGTTGGAGACGACGCTGAAGCAATGAACTCACATGCAGAAGACATGAGTCTTTTTTAATCCCACTCTGAATGTCTGCTCCCCCTTGCCCTCATTGCCACTGCTGCCGCCTAATAGCCGCACGTGCACTGGCCTGTCCTTCCGAGTTGCCTTCCAGTACCCAGTAGTTGTGGCGCGATTAGACCTGTACCCCGATGGGTACTTGAGGTCATGGGCTGCAAAGAAGAACCATTCGCCATCGCCAGGAATAGGGCAGGTTGCTCTGGCTGGGAGTTGGAGAGACAGGGATGAGAGGGGAATAGGGGTAGATGAAGGCTCTTGACAAAGGAAGAGCCATTTTGCCATTGCCAGGAAGGGCATGTTACTCTCGCTGCATCACCAAATTGAAATGTCTCGAATCTGTCCCAGAAGATTCTTTTCGAATACTTTGGGGACAGGTTGAAAAGTGTCTCGAAAGACACTTTCGAGACTAAGTGAAATGTCTTGAAAGTGTCACGCGTAACTGACCCGAAAGTGTCTTTCGAGACACATTCGAGACATATCCAACCAGCACATTCAGGACTGTCCTCAGGAGAGATTCGAGACACTCAAGAGACAAATTTTCAAGTTTAAAGCCCGTATGCATTATAAACACTACACTATTACACTGTTCCAAAAAATAGGCTACCGCACATATGCATCCAACTTTAACGTCCTTGAATATTTGCACCACTCTGTGCATTATTTTTTGGTTGCTTCCAAATCCAGAGTGTATCAATCATATTTTATCCTGAACACAAGACATCACATTGAAGTTTCAATCACTGAATGCCTCAGTTGATGCCTAACCAAATGTGATGCAGAAACAACTAGTATGCAACTTATTCATCCAGCATTCCACAGAAGACGACGTAGATTGGAATGAAAGTTACAATTACTCTTCGTCTTTATCTGTACCTGCCAGTTGGCCAAATCTATCAATTGCGTGAAGGGAAGTATGTCGGAAAATATAATTTAATATTATATAGATGTAATTGCCTGTAGGATTGGCTAGTGTAGTTATAGCGTTTTCCTATTTGGTGGTGCACCTTTCTTGCTTGTTCTTTCATATTTGTACCCTTGAACCTATAGTGAAACCCTCATTCTCCTTCTCAACTCTTTCGACATTCTCCTCACCCTCGAACTCAACTTACTCGATCTCACTAGCCATGGCTCCTAAGCCTCGCTAGAAACTTAATATGCTATCAGAGTGATCACGGTTCTGGCCTGTGGACCCGCCCTATTGCTTCCGCTGCTACTCTGTGTTCTGCAGGCCCCGTGGCGTGCCCCTTAATTTTCTCTTAGCGGCCCCGTCGCCGCCCTTTCAAAGGCCCCTCACGGCCCCTTCGCGGCCCCGTCGCCGCCCTTCCGCGGCCCCGTCGCCGCCCTTTCAGCGGCCCCATCGCCGCCCTTTCAGCGGCCCCGTCGTCGCCCGCCCTTCAGCAGGCCCCGTCACCCGCCCTTTCAGCGGCCCCACCGCCGCCCTTTCAGCGGCCCCGTCGCCCGTCTTTCAGGAGGCCCCGTTGCCCGCCCTTTCAGCGGGCCCCGTCGCCGCCCTACCAGCAACCCGTCGCGGCTCCTTCGGGAGCCGCACGCGGCCCCCTCAGGTCGCCTCGACAGGTGACGGGAGGGGCGACCTGGAAAGGGGGGGCAGGCGTCGCCCCCTCTGCCGCCTGCTTTGGCGCCCGGGGAGGCCGTGTAGAGGGGAGGGTCTGGGGTGGCGGGTGTGGGGGTGATGGGTGGTGTGTTTCCCTTCCCCTCCTCCTCCTTTCGTTCCCACTGCTACAGCTGCCGCTGGGGGGGAGGGTGTGAGGGTGTGGGGGGAGGGTCTGGGGGTGGCGGGTGTGAGTGGTGTCTTTCCCTTCCCCTCCTCCTCCTTTCGTTCCCACTGCTGCAGCTGCCGTTGGGGGGGAGGGTGTGAGGGTGTGGGGGAGCCAGGGGAGTGGTATTATTGAAACACTTTTCTCCTCCTGCGCAATCGTGATGTACCCCTTCAGAGGGCGCTAACTGCATACTCATCTCCTACAGCTAGTTATGGGGGCGTGTCGGAAAATATAATTTAATATTTTCTATATGTGACTGCCTGTAGGATTGGTTACTGTAGTTATAGCGTTTTCCTATTTGGTGGTGCACCTTTTTTGCTTCTTCTTTCATATTTGTACCCTTGAACCTATAGTGAAACCCTCATTCTCCTTCTCAACTCTCTCGACATTCTCCTCACCCTTGAAATCAACTTACTCGATCTCACTAGCCATGGCTCCTAAGCCTCGCTAGAATCTTAACAAAATAAATGCTCGAAAAACGCACGGGCGAAGATATTGAAATGCCATTTCTTCAATTTCTGCTGAGGGTATTCTTACGATCAAACAAAAACACAGCAAGTAAAAGCAGGATTATATACTTGTAAAGAACGACAACGTTAGTAAAATAGAATTGCATGAATACATCAAGCGTAGCCAGAATGACACGGATATGCATGACAGGTTTAAGGGTACGAAATACTAACCGTCATTTCAAATTGTATTTGCTGTCGTGATCCACTACCATGGAAAGGAAGGAACGCAAGGGAAGAAGATGCACAAATTAGATGCATTAACATTGAAAGGGACGATATAGTTGATGGGAGATAAGAGAGTAACTAAGAGATGCTAATCGACATGACGGTTCTGGTGACGATAGAAGAGGTAGAACAAGAGCGCTATTAATTGCAAACAAACAGAAATGCGCGCTATAGGGATTCAGATATGAAATCCTAGTAGAGCCAAGTTATTGGCAGACACAGAGACAGAACAACAAAATACGGGGAGAAAGAAATGAGTTGTGACGAGCAAAACGCTCTAATCCAAAAAAACGATTGAAAAAATGAGGGAGGTTTGGATGGGTTTAACTAGTTTCGCAGTGGCTAACGTGATGAGGTTTTCACATTGAAGTGGTTGGCACATGTTGTTGAGTATTTGGGTTGTGTGGTGGCAGTGACGCGACTATTTTCCAGTGCACGTGGCGATTTTGATGCAGTTGGCAGGTGCCACGTTGGTTTGCATGACAGGTGGCGCAAAGGTACTGCTTATTTCGGATCACGATGCGTTTTTTTCAACGAACGAATCTCCTAAGCGAAATTGGTAAGAAGCTCCAGGTCATTTAAATTTACGTTAGCTCCTAGCGCAGTGGTCTTGACTTCAGATATTATCCGAAGGTGTCGAGTCCGATTCCCATGTCAGAACATTATAGCTCATGCATATTGTGTAGGCTATAGTGGGGTAGCCCATAAGGGGTACAACCCAATTAGGGTTAGTACTTGTACCCAATTCATTCATAGTTCATTCATTCTCATTTCAATTCTCTCATGGTATCAGAGCAGGTTCCCTCGTGGGAACTGTTCCTAGGGCCCACCAATTAGACTTTTTTTCCTGCCCGGAGCGCGCTCAGCCCTAGCCCCGTCGCGCCGCCCTAGCGGCCCTGTCGCCTGCCTTGCGGCCCTCGCGCCGCCCTTCCTGGCCCCGACCCGCCGCCAGGCGGCCTCGTCGCCTACCCCGCGGCCATCGCGCCGCCCTTTCCCAGCCCCGATCTGCCGCCCTGCGGCCTCGTCGCCCACCCAGCGGCCCTCGCGCCGCCCTGCGGCCCTCACGCCACCCTTACCGGCGCCTACCCGCTGACCTCGCCACCTACCTGCGGCCCCGCCACCTACCTGCGGCCCCGCCACCTACCTGCGGCCCCGCCACCTACGAGCGGCCCCGCCACCTACCCGCGGCCCCGCCACCTACCTGTGCGGCCCCGCCACCTACCTGTGCGGCCCCGCCACCTACCTACGGCCCCGCCACCTACCAACGGCCCCGCCACCTACCCGCGGCCCCGCCACCTACCTGTGCGGCCCCGCCACCTATCTGCTGGCCCCGCCACCTACTTGCTGGCCCCGCCACCTACCTGCGGCCCCGCCACCTACCAGCGGCCCCGCCACCTGCCTGCGGCCCCGCCACCTACCCGCGGCTCCGCCACCTACCTGTGCGGCCCCGACGCCTACCTGCGGCCCCGCCACCTACCTGCGGCCCCGCCACCTACCTGCGGCCCCGCCACCTATCACTTTAGCCAGTACAAGAGTGCTCAGACCTTGTACGACGCTGTATTTGCACGCTACTCCTCCCCTGCCACTGCTGCACTGAGCCGCCTTATGCTACCGTACCT